CCCGGACCCCCTACCTCCCCGTAATGAGAGTTTGATGGAGTGGTTGTGTAGGTAGATAATGTTAAGTTAATGAGATGTCCTATTCCATGAGACTGTTTGCAGTTCCCTACAGAGCCGCAATGTGTGTGTGTCGCCTTTGTTGATGTATATTGCTGTCTGCTCGAGTGTGCGCTTACCTGAGTTTGCGAGCGATCCATTTTATTTCAAGATTACTGTGTGTGTGTGTGTGTGTGTGGTTGAGCTACCTTTGTTTATAGAGTTGTTTTTGTAGGTGTGTGTTTTTTGGTGTCCTGGTGCATTTGAGCATTTTTTATCCAGCTTTCAGTCTGGCACTCAGCAGGAAATTAACTGTCAGATTTGTGAGTGACAGAGGAATAAAATGTCCTAAGAAGACAGAGCGTTAATAAATAAAACAAATAATAGCGAGCGAGTAATGAAAAAATAGGCACAGGGAGAGAAAAGGAAAGCAGCGAGATTTTTTTTTCTTTTTTTTTTAACAAACGTTTGGGCTCAGATGGGAGAAAAAGATGGGAGTTTTGGTGATGAAAAAGGCATAAGGTAATGGGAGAGTGGGGGATAACCACCTCTCTCATGGCAGGTACATGTCTCTAATTGGGAGTCCCACCTCCCATTCCGTGCCACCCCCCCCTTCCTTTTCTTTCCATCTCTTCTCAGACAATGCAAGCGAGAAAAAGAAGCTTTCCTAATTAATGCAGATATAATGATGGGTCCAACTGTGGACCTCTGCCCCCTCAGAATGTTGATTAAGGCGCTCTGTGTGTGTGTGTGTGTGTGTGTGTGTGTGTGGAGGCGGGGTGAATCTTCTCAGCAGCTCAGCCAGATAAACCTGGGATTTTGGATTATCATATATTTATGTGTAATATAATTATATGTCTATTGATGCATAGAAGATGAATAGTGCTGATATTTGGTTTCCGACAATACTGATTTCTATATGGTTATCACTGAGGTAATTGGTAGTCTGCTTTTAGCTTCGGCATAATGTGGGAGTGCTTAGAAAATCTAAATAGTTCCAAGAAAAAAAAAAAAAAAAAGATGCTGCGGCAGCGCCCACACTTCTTTTTTTTTCTATGGCAACTGATCTCTAGGAAGTGAGGGGGAAAAACATTACAGCAGCAAGGGCTTAGCATCAGTGATATCACCGTAAGAAAAATAAAAATAAGATGACAGATTTTACCTTCCCAAAACGGCTCAAAGATCAGAGTGAAGCTGTAGTGGATGCCAGTTTTGCTTAAAGGGCCACTCCGCGGATTTTGCACGTCAAGCTCAGTTTGCTAGTCATGGTGAGAATTGCTCTGCCTGCGAAAACGGTTGCACGCTGTCATCTGTGACGTTTGTCAGGTCTCAGGAAATAACCCCGGATCATGTGTCAGGGTGATCTGAGCTCGACCCTGTAGGTGCTGCACTTCTACTCAGGTATTTGTACTTAATCAAAGGCATCAGACCCTCTGCTCAGGTTAAAGGTGAAGAGAGCAATGCTGGACTTGAATGACATCACCGGTGTTGTAGTACAAATATCAGCAGTGGAGACGGTATTCAGATCCTTTAGTTCAGTAAAACACTAATACCACACTGTAAAAATGTTACCCAAGGAGAAGTATGGAGTATAATCACATGCAATCAAAGTATTAAAAGTAAAAGTATTCAATGCAGAAAAATGTGCTGTAACTGTAACACAATTCTACATTATACCATTAGATTATTATTAGTCATGCAATAATGCAAAAGCAGGAGTTGCATTTGATTAAGGTGGATTCGTTAATTTCTCCATTGATTGTTTGCTTTGTCCAGCCAACTGTCTAAACCTCACAATTACTGGTCGACATAGTAAAATTGTTAAAAAGAAAATTTAAAGGAAAAGCTTTTCATTTTTGAACCATGAAATGTATTTTTGTGAAAATGCCTTGAATATCTGGCAAATAGTTGCCAATTAATTTTCTGTCCATCAGACAAATTGATGACTGGCTTCAGCTGAATCATATATTATACAAATCTGCCAAAATCTTCATTTTCTTCATATTGAGACTCGAGCACACGTATAGTAGAATGCACCATGAACACCACGAGCACATGACGTTACGCTACTTTCTGGTCACACTATAGCCGAGCATGTGCACTGCTGTCTCTGGGGCACAGTAAAGACACACATGTTGGGCTGCATGCAGACATCCATGGAGGAGCTGCGCTGACCACACATTTTAGAGCCTGAAACCAATTTTGAAGAATGATATCGAAAGCCCCACCTTACACGCTGACAGGATTGGTTTCTGATAGGATTGCTGCTTACCAAACACTAGTGTTCTGGAGCAGTTTCAAGGATGGGAATCCTCTTGACTGCTTACTTTGCTCATGATATGTCTTCAAGCATATAAAGAAAAAAAACCACCATATGGACATGTTGACGATGTGTTGACAACACGCTGACAAGGTAAAAAGCTTGATTTCCACTGGCGGCAATCTTTAAAAGAAGGCTGACATGTTCACGTGCTGGGTAATAGAACACAGCACACCCTCATGCTATTGTTGTCGTAGATGGGTTTGTTTTGATTAGCATCATACAGAGAGGGTGTGTGTTGCCCTCAAGAATCATGCTACAGAGCTAACAAATGAGGGACACGACATGTCAATCACATGCAGGCTACATATGAGAACAGGTGTAATCACCATGAATATGTAGGAGCTTTACGTAAATCTCATCGTATGTGGAATGTTTCCTTGGGGCCATTATCAAAAGGAAGATAATTTGATTGGTCGCCTCTCTTCACACCGAAACAATGCGAATCCACATTGACCCGCTGTTGGCAAACGTAACCCACACAGGTATAAGTGAAGCAGAGTAGATTAGCTTAAAACAAAACTAATTGGTTTGCAGGGTGATGCCAGGCCAGTGTGGCATCCCTGTCCAGGTTTCCACTCGGTCAGGCCAGCGGGTTACCATTCAGGCCACGTATCTGCCTGTAGCAGTAATGAGAAGTGCCTCGCTGTTAATGAGATAAACACAGACATTAGATTGGCTCAGCAGGAGCTCAGAGGAAAGGAGAGGGCGAGAGGAAAAGAGAAGTGGGTTGGAGGGTGAGACGGAGGAGGCGAGAGGAGAGAGAGAGGCAGAGGCAAGGTTGAGTGAGAAAGCAGATGAGAGGGTGGCGGGCATGGCGAGAAAGTTGATGCGAAGGAGAGATTGAGGAATATGAAATATTTAGAGGAAGAGGCTCGGTTAATTTCTTGAAAGTGTGAAGTAGGGCTTCATTATAACGCGAACAGAGGTGACGAGTACATTTCGCCTGCACAATGAGAGAATAAGCGCCGCGGAATGATAATGATGATGGTGGTCGTAATGGCGAAGTTGATAAGAGAAGCATAACACACTGCGGTGTAACAGCTATTTTATTGAGCAAAATGTTAAAATATTCATGCTCCATATGTTATGTGACTGCTATGGCCCTTTTTCATGTGCCCACACACACGCACAGACGCTCACGCTGAGGATTGTCAGCGCCTGCTGTGACATTATAACCGTATCTATCATTAAGCAGTCTTTTTCCAGGCACAGCCACTAATGAACGCGCAGGATTTAGAATGAGTTTGTCTAGCGGTGGCTGAGCGCGCGCGAGTGTGTCAACATTTGGCAATCTGACGCAAGGTGGAATGAGTGTGCTGCTGGCATGTTGTGTGAGTTGGAGAGTGTTTATTGTTTCGTCATTAAAGTATCTTTTTAAAGCACATAAACCTTACATTCACATTTAAAGCACCTTTAGCAGACTGCAGCATTATCGAGCTAAGGTGTTCAGATTATACAGATGAACAGGAATTTGCAAGTGGAAAGCTCACATAATGTGGAAACACGATAAATCTCTGTTCTCAGAGCATCAAATGTGTTTTAATTCAGATGGATGTGTGATTTTTCCAATTTAAAATAAGAGTTGCTGATAGTTAAGTCACAGTACTTTTACTCATATCCTGTGTCAGGCCATCATGTTTTTTAGTTTTATTTTGTGACCTAAAGCTCCTCTTTGGTTAAGTTTCAAAACTACTCGTGTTGGTTTAGGGAATAAAACTACTTCATAACTTTACCACTTAACTTTCAGAAAAGATGGTTTGAATTTAAATACACCTTTTTTCATAATAACCCTGTGTTTGAAACACACGGCATCATTTATCAGAACCCAAAACTGTAAAAACAAATCAAAACAAATCATCACATTTTGAACCTTTTGACGAGCTAATCCTGTGACGTGCAATTATGTCATTAAAAATCCCTTGATTTCTTATATCTCATGGAAAAATTTGCCAGAAGTAAATAGTTTACACACATGAGATTCTTTAAAAAGTAAATATATAAATTTTGCCCTCTTTGATGCAACTGACAAGCCATTAGTGACTTAAATGTAGCCACAAGTTGCATAAGAACATTTCTTTGACTATTCAGCTTAATTACAGGCTGTGTTTACACAAAGCAAATTGGATACGAGTGTGGAAACAGTTTAAGAAGGCTGAGGGCAAAATAAAACATATTTGATCAATAACATAAATGCGGCATGTGTAAAAACGGTAAATAAAGAAA